GCTCTGCCTCTAACCGCTACACGGTGCTCTCTGTTGTGGGTGGAAGGTTATAAGGGAAAAAACATGTATACATTTGGATAGAGTAGTGAGACAGAACAGAACCAGTGTCAGGTTTTTATAGCCGTGTGTGTCCACGTTGGGGGGATTCACTCCCTTAACCCTACTCACATCTGTGCGCAAGTTGAACGCACACGAAAATTGCGCATTAAAACGCATGTCTTTGAATAAGGCCTCATTCTCACTAGGATGCGATTAGGTGCGGTTATATGCGTTTTTAATGGTTATCAAAATGCATATATAAGCATCTAATGATTTCCAATAGATCTATTCACACTTTAGCACTTTAGATGCTTTTATCTGCAGTTTAGCTGCGTTTAGGGAAAACAGAAGTCAGGTGTGTCAAGGAAACAATTTTAGCATATAAATGCAAGAAGCGTCCATTTGCTGAAATCTCATTGGCTACTTTAATGGAAAAATGCATCCAAAAGCATATGCGTGTGAACGCACATCATGTTCAGCATCTAGAAGCATAAAAAAAGCATCTGGCCTGACAGATTTTGCAGAAAGATCTCTGCATAAAAACGCAAGTGGATAGTGTAAATGAAGCCTAACACCACAAACGCGACTACTAAAACAAGCGCATTGTAGTGCACCAAAACACATGGTGCCATGGGGGGAATTTATCAAAACTGGAGCAGACAGAATCTGGAGCAGTTGCCTATATTAATCAATCACCTTCTCTCTTTAGTTTATTCAGTTAGGCTTTGATAAAGAGAAGCTGATTGGTTGCCGTGGTCAACTACTCCAGATTCTTTCTGCTCCAATTTTCATAAATTCCCCTCGGTATGTACAAGTTCAGCATGTTTTATAAATAAGAAGTAAGCATTTCTTTGGTGAAATTGCCGCACGTTGGACAGCTTATTAAAATGAATGGGCTGCCCAAACATGTTGCAACTTAACCACTTCCAGCAGGTTCACGTAAGTGTACATCCTCCGCTGGAAGTGGCTATATCAAGAACGCGGCTGCTGCTAGGTACTGTTTTATACAGCAGACGATTGCTGTTTAAATACAAGCGATCCGGCGTCTATACAGGTGCCGGATCGCTTGTACGGTGCGGCGCTGTGTCCCCGTCCGGTGCCGCCGTCGGCTTCCCATGCTCTGCTGTCCCCCCTGTGAGCCTGTGACCGGCGTGGAGGGTCTTACCTAATAGATCGGAGAAGAGATCAGCAGCTTTCAGCCGCTGAGCTCTCCTCCCATCACTGATGTGCATTACAACACTTCCAGTGCCAGAAAATATATCATTGTTTGGGGGTCTGACGCTATTTTCTAGCCAAAAATTCAGATTTTATCATGTGTGTGCAAATGTAGGAAATTGCTCTAGGCAGCAAGTGGTTAAAGGAGAATTATGGGGAGAGTGAAATATTCATCCCCATAATTAGAGCCGACGTGTGACACTGAAGCTGTCACATGTGGGCACTATTGATCGAGAATTGAGTGATCACATACCGCCGATCACTGAGTTCCCGATCTTCTCCCTGCAGAGAGCAGTGACTGTCAGTCTGCACTCCCCGCAGGGTTCCCCCCCTCCCCTCTCCATTCCTCCAGGACTGACTGGAGGGATGGACCGGACAGGGGGCGGGCATAGCTGTCAATCAAGTGGCGGAGTGGACAATATTGTCCGGATCTTTCCCGGCTGCAGCACTATATGCTGAGTTTTGGGTCACAGGAGGATATAGTAAATGTCCTCCTGTGACCCTAAAGAGAACTAAGGCCAAAAAAGGTTGGGCCAAAGTTCTCTTTTAAACATGTAAGACATACATGTTGCACAAGCACGGGTGGGAACCAGGGCTTATGGCTTGTTTATGCTTACATTGGTGACCATTGTTTTTCTGCACTGTATCAACGCATGTCCATAGGGCACATAGAAAACAATTGTTTTCGATGTGTCTTGTTTACACCACAAAGCCGGTTAGTGGTGCGGTGCAGAAAAAATGCAGACATGTCACATTTTTCTGCAGCACATTGGATGGCAGCAGAGGTCATGCAGTGCTGCTCTGCTGAGACCTTTGAATGGAGTGTACACTGCTAATAAAGTTATAAAAAAGTAAACAGAGACACAACTACACACTGCTGCTACCCAACGGACACCAACCACATGCTATAGCGGAATGTTTATTCTGGTAGTCGTATAACTGATAATAAAATAATATATCTTGCAAGTTGCCTGTGACAGCTTTTTTGCATTTTATTTTCCTCTAGTTGTATTTGGAAGGGGCTTCATGTATAAAAGTTCACACAGCACTAGTGCCCCTAGATGGCGCTGATGAGTATAGGAAATTCTTATACTAATTAGCACCATCTAGGGGTGTTAAAGGAGAACTATGAGGTGAGTGCTTTTCACTCACCTCATAGTTCTAGCCGACCTGTCACTCACGCAGCTGGGCGGATCCCGTCATCTAAGACGTGATCCGCTCCGGCATCTCAGTATACCGCGAGCTGTAGCTCGCGGTATACTGAGCTTAGGGTAACGGGAGGACGCTAGTTTGTGTCCTCCCGTTACCCTAAGGAGAACTATGGGGAAAAACACTGACCCCATAGTTCTCCTTTAAGGGAGAACTATGAGGCAAGTGATTTTCACTCAGACTCATAGTTCGAGCCGACATGTGACAATGAAACTGTCACAGGTAGGCTCAATAGATCGGGAAGTAAGCAAACGCATAACGTCGCTCGCTCACTTCTCGATCATGTCCCTGAAGAGAGCCGTGACTGTCAATCACGGCTCCCTGCAGGAATTCCCCCCTCCCCTGTCCGATCCTCCAGAGCTGACTGGTGGAATGGACGGGGGAGGGGGCGGGTACAGGTGGCACTGCCTCTAGATAGGCAGAGCCAGCTGTAACTCACTCAGCTGGGTGGATCTCGATAGTAATGTAGGGATCCGTCCCGGCTGCGGCGTTCTCAGTATACTGAGGTTTGGGTCACGGAAGGACGCTAGTTTATGTCCTCCCGTGACCTTTAGGAGAACTATGGGGAAAAACACTGACCTCTTAGTTCTCCTTTAATGTGTGGCTATACACTGAATGGACCTTTTAGACAAGTCCAACAACATATTATTGACATTGGGTTCCTTTTTTATTGTGTCCCCACAGTCTCAAATGCATTAAATACAACAATATTCATAAGGATCATTTAACTCTCTTTATTGAACCTCTTACGCTGACCACACATTACAATGTGTTTGAACAATTTCCTTTAGGTCTACTAAAAACTATGTAGTGTCTAGATTGGATACAAATTGTTTGATTAGACTAGGTAGACCCTATATTACGTAAGGGTCTATTTATAAATCTTCCTCCCTGCCATACGCTTTGCACAGCATTCCCACTGCTAGGTGGAGACAAGGGCCATCCTTGGCTCCATCTAATGTCAGGAAGGCTGTTTGAACAACATCCATTTGCATGGCATTACTGCCACTAGATAGAGCTGAGGTGCACAGGAATTTGCTATGCTTCTTAACTCCATCTAGTGGCGGGAATGCCATAGCAGCGTAAGGCTGGACAGATTATTTAGAAATCAGCCCCCTATGTGTCAACAGTAGAAGTTGTGTGGTGACTTGACTCACCATCTTAATATAACCCCATCATTGTCTTTCTATCTACAGGTAAACATTCTACTTTCACCTTGGTGTCAGATTCCTTTTTTCAGTATAGAACTACTGGACATTGATGCTGCGGTTTGGTTCTCCATCTTCAAAACATTTACCAGCATACTTTCCACAGAGCCTGTGATGGAAATGTAATTCTGCAAATGGTTCTGCTGAATTCCTAGTTACATATTTCAGATATTCTTTGAAGAATGTTTCCATGAACTCCCTGTCGGTAAAAAAAAGCAACACTGTCTTCTAGCTGCCTTCCTTCTGTGACTTGGTTATGAGTTTAACAAAGAACTATTACTCTCATCAATAAAGCTAATGTTACTTAATTCCTCTTCAGTAATACAAAGTCATTGTAAAACACAAAGAGAAATAAATTGCGGTTATTAAGCCTTGTGCACATGGCCGTAAATGGTTGTACAGTGTACAGATTGGGCGTATTTCTCTGCCTGGGAATCATGAGTGCATCCAGACTGTACAAATCATTGACACGCTGGCTAAAGCATGTGGGCTGTACAGGTATATACACAAATCCTATAGTGTACATGCATACTGGGACTTACATACTATGGGAAATATGCAAGTAAAGATTACACTGTTGTATATACAATAAAAATACATTTCTTTCTCATCCATCAAGGGACACAGGAAGTCTTTCACCTTTGGGTTATACTGCCACTTACAGGAGGATTAGACATTGACAAACAAAAAACTGATGGCTTGTGAAGGATTATCCCTCATACTACTAAATACTTTTTTGCTACTGTACTAAAAGCGGGGCTCAAAACATCAGGTCCTGAGCTACTAGCCAGGCCTTAAAAGTTACTCGCCACCAGTTGCCCTGCATAACACAAACACACACAGGGCACAACACGCACCAGCACAATGCACAGGGCACAGTACATTACACATAAAGCCACAGTACAATGCACAGGACATTACACATACAGCCACAGCACAACGCACAGAGCAATACACATACAGCCACAGCACAATGCACAGAGCATTACACATACAGCCACAGCCAACGCACAGAGCATTACACATACAGCCACAGCCAACGCACAGAGCATTACACATACAGCCACAGCCAACGCACAGAGCATTACACATACAGCCACAGCCAACGCACAGAGCATTACACATACAGCCACAGCCAACGCACAGAGCATTACACATACAGCCACAGCCAACGCACAGAGCATTACACATACAGCCACAGCCAACGCACAGAGCATTACACATACAGCCACAGCCAACGCACAGAGCATTACACATACAGCCACAGCCAACGCACAGAGCATTACACATACA